CTATATGTACATCATCTATCTACATAGTAACTTAAAGAGGAAGATTATAGCAAATATCACTATGGTAAACAACAAGACTATTGCAACCATTACCATGGTGACCTAGGTTCTATTTAAGGTAACATAGAATTGAAACAATGTTTTTATGTGTGAGGGTGATTATACCCCGATAATATTACAAAAGAGGGAAAATTGTAAAATGTTATTTATATTTAGATTCAATACTCCACGAGGAATCCCATGGTGCATTTTACTTGAACAATTAGCGTCAAGCCATGAAAGACAAATAAATGTTTATAAATGAGAGGTTCTGATGTCATCATTATTGTAATGAAAGAAGCCAGATGCATTTTTGGACAAAAAATACTATCAATAAAAATTGGATTCAATGAGCTTGTCAGGCGCCATATGTGGGTATGTATTTGCTCCATATTTATCTATGAAATGGAATGGCCTTCAATACTGTTCACAGCAGAAACTAATCTGAGAACAGACATATAATATTATATTTATTTCCTTTGCAATTTATTTCAGCTTTTTTCACTGAAGTTAAGTGATGTGAAAATAAAATCTTTTTTTCATATTTTTACATTCAACTCGGTGAAAATGAATTCCTTACAAAACACCCAAAAAGTATTTCAGGCAAAAATTGCAGGTAAATTAAAAAAAAACTTTACAGTATAATATTTTAAATTATCATTCCAACTGTGTTTTCAGAATGCAATCATACCTGAACAAAATCTATTCCAGTAGAAACAACAGCTTTTGAAACTGAAAAAATCAGCATATCAACACTGATTCAATATAATTTCATGTATTTCCATAATATAAATTAAACATTTTGGTTGCTTAAAAAGTTCTCAATTTGTTGTGGGTATTTATGCGGATGCAATTTCCATGTCTTTACCTATTGTACACAGTAGTTTTTCCCGCCAAAATGTTAGTACTTTTTTTCAAATTGTTAATTTTGTTCTGAATGGACTTATTAGTGACAGATATTGATCAAAAATGAATATTGAAGAAAATGAGGACAATTTTATTTCATTAAAGATGATTTCAGATTTGCCATAAAAGTAGGCCATGTGTGATATTGTATTTTATAATATGTATGAAAAGCATGACAAATAAAACAGGGGAAGTAATAAATATTAAATTATTCATCTGACAATAATCAGCAATTTATATGCAAATTTACAAGGAATAAGCAAAAACATTCAACTACTTATAAAGACAGCTAATAAAGTAGTGTGTTTAAATTACATGAATAGATGAAGGAGAAAACAGGTTTGAATTACAGTAGCCAGACTACCATAAAATTTAGTTTGAGCTGTCAAAAAGTCTCAAAGCAATCAGACTTGTAGTTTTCAAGAAGTAGTCAAAAAATTACCCTGCAAATAATTTTATTCCCATTTTTTAAAATTTTTCTGTTTATTTTGAACCATACAGACAGCTTTTAATTGTGGGACATCTTCATAAAAATTTAATGTGATTTTGTTAATATTGAATTTTAAGAAAGAGAGAAAGAGAGAGAGACAGAGAGAGAGAAAGTGAATAAGGTTGCCCTACTGACACCCACATGCTTTGTGTTAATTTTAAGCCAGGAATTCTTGACTGAGTAGAGAGTTTTACATTCTGTATAGTTATGTAAGGTCACATTCACTACATTTTATAGAGATTGGTTGGTAACAATGGTATCTAAGGTTGAAATTAATATACATAAAGGGGCACTAATCTCACAACAAATTTACTTTCTGGATTAAAATTACAATGGATAACAAAAGATAGATTAACATAAACAACATAAACAATAGTGTCCCATGATTCTTTTGTGCAATCCCTTGGCTTGGAAAATCCCCCTTTAAGTTTATATATAATTCATGTAATTTTCAATAGATGATAATGACATATGAATATTAATCAACAACATCCAAATTTACAAAAAGGTCATATAACATTTTAGAAGTTAATGTAAACCAAAAACACTAAACTCACGCTTATTTTTTGGTATTTACCAATCTGATTAATAATTTTTCTTTCATATATGATCACCTCTGATCACAATCAAATGTAGACCATTTTTTAAGATCAGCAGATTACAAAAAAATGTTGATATTTTTTTAAGATCACCACTGGGTACAATCAAATGTAAATAATTTTTAAGATCACCACTAATTAAAATCAAATGTAGATAATTTTTTTAAGATCACCAGATAACAATCAAATGTAGATCATTTTTTAGATCACCACTGATGAGATTTGTTAATCATTTAGAGCATACTAGAGTGCAGTTTGAAACAATAGATTTGATTGGTTGCTGCTCTTAGAACACAATTTGCATAGGTAATTGATCAGCCGTAGTTAGAGACATAGTTTTCTAATCTATTTAAAAAAAAAGTTGACGGAAACATTACTTATTTTTTATCTCAATTAATAATAATCATTAATAATTACCGATTTGGAAGACGCTGAATTTCCTTTTCCCACCAGAGTCGGATTTCTCTTCTTCACTTACGCATCCCAGATCAGATTTACAGAACGTAACTTTCCGCCAGGGTCAAATGAATCCTCAGAACTGGTGCTAGCGGTAGGTTTTCGAAACTTTCGGCGAAATATACTTCTTCTGGACCTTGAGCTGGGACTTGTAGTCTCCTCATTAATCATTGACTGTGACCGGCGAAAGCGATTTGGTTTTCGCACTTTTTCTTCATCTCCGCTTTCACTACTTGCTGAATTTCTACGACTGCATAGATACATAAGAATCATAGTTAATTTCTTCAGTATTGTAAATATTTTGTTAGAAACTAAATGATCATGAACAAATTAAAATAATATAATAATGCAGTATAGCGCCCTCATGAGGTAGATATTGAAAAACATGTACCTGCACCATGTGCAGGTTAGCACATGAAACACTTTGAAACATTTTGAAATCACAAGCGCAAAGCGTGAGTGAACTAAG